ATATATATATATATACACACACACACACACACACACATATATATATATACATATATAAATAAAAAAACTCAGCAACATCAACACTAACAACAACAACAATCGATGCTGTATAGTTTGGACTACTGTTGTTAGCAGGTACTCTTTGGTTATGTGGAGGATTTTTAAGTTATATGTCCAGTATTCAGATACAATTAACTGACCATAGACTGTGTTAGTGTGTAAAATAAAATCTGTTCATATGCAAATAATGTAAGTATTGTTGAAGTATTTGAATTTTAGTAACATTCTTCTGTTATATTGCAGGATGTTCAGAGCAGAGTTGATTTACGTCATGTGGATATTTGCTCTGTGGATCCTCCAGGTTGCACTGATATCGATGATGCTCTTCATTGCATGGAACTAGAAAATGGAAATTATGAGGTAAGAACAATAATTTTCTCAGGTATTTTATATGGGTGTGAAAGTTGGTTTTCACTGTAAGGGAAGAATGTAGTTTGAGGGTGTTTGCTGAGGAAGTAATAAGGTCACACAATTACACAGTGAGAGCTCCATAATTTATATTATTCAGATTATATTGTTAGGTTGAATAAATAAAGAAGGATGAGATTGGATGGACATATGGCACATCTGGGGAATAATTGAGATGTGCGTTTTAATGTAAGTAAAGTAAAGTTTGTCCCACTATACGCCATGTAGGCGTTTGGGGTGAGTGGAGGTATAGCTCCTCTCTTCCTTGACCCCGGCACTAGATGGGGTGAGTGGTCAGCATCGCGCCCCGGCCGGCTTTACCCCCGGGAAAGGACCCCGGTACCCATTGTAGAGGAGGCTAGGTGGGCCTCAGAGCCGGTCTGGACGCAGAAGCTAGAGGAAAAATCCTCTGCCCCCGTCGGGGATCGAACCCCGGCCGTCCAGCCCGTAGCTAGTCACTATACTGACTGAGCTATCCCGGCTCTTTGGCTGGAAAACCCCAAGTGAAGAGACCACTTGGGGAAACCTAGAAAACTCAACAGGAAGTTCCCTAATTTTTTATACAGTGAATTCCACTTAACTTTAATCACAGCTGCTAGTCTGCAGTAGGTATATTCTGCACTGCAGCTAATTCATTTTCCAGCAATTTGATTGTTACTGCTATGGCATGCTGTCATGGTGAGTACTACATTAAGTGGGACATACTGTGTAAAGTACCATGTCAGATGTTCTTCATGCCCTTGCAGTTGTTCACCACATGGGGTTAGGGAAGTCAAATGAAGGGGTCTGGGATGGGTTGGGCATGTAGCATACATAGGAGGGAAAATAAACGTATATAAAATGTTAGTTGGAAAGCATGAACCTAACTATCCAATTTACTAACTAACTAAGTAGCGCAGGATCCTTGTGAAACTAGTCAAGAAATTTCATGTCAGTTGTGGAATCTGAAGGTTCATTGTCACGTTCACATGGACCTGCTAATGGTTCAGCTCTAAGGTCAATTGATTTAATCTCTCTTTGATCAGTTAGAAACCAGACCAAGTTGTAATGGTTGAGGATGTTTTGTATTATGTTTGTTTTGAACAGGTAGGTGTCCATATTGCTGATGTGAGTCATTTCATTCGATCTGGAACAGCAATAGACAAGGAGGCTGCACTCAGAGCAACAACAGTTTATTTGGTGGACAAGAGAATCGACATGGTACCAGGTCAGTACAATTTTTGTAAGGCTTACAGTATCATGTCCATGTGTTCAAAGGTCTGTCTGCCGTAATAAGGTTGGAATAGTTGACAGATTTTTTTGAAACTTGATGTTACAATCAAGACAACAGAGGCAATTTTACTTTTTTATTTTTAAATTCCTATCGTCAGTAAAACCAGTGTAGCAGTCTTCTGAACTTCAAAGATGGGAGCTATACTACCACTGATTCATTTAGAGTCCTGAAATTTTGTGTGATAATGGATTTTTGAGAAATATGTTCTCTCCCCACTACACCCACACTAAGAATATTAACCTTTTATATACTAAGGTTGTATAAGTTCCTTCTAGAGCCTCTTGTTTATAAAATAAGCATTTAGACTTTTTAAAAAGACTGATTTCCTCTAAATCCACCTATGAAATATTTATTTTTGATGTGCTAAAAAATGGTGTATGTGTGATGCGTATGAAATTCTGCAAAAGGAAAGCTGATGAGTACACACATTATTGTATATATATGTATATGTGTATTGTATATATAGTGTATATCAATATTTTTCCTATTTTTAGAGCTACTGAGTTCAAATTTGTGCTCTTTGCTTGGAAATGAAGAGAGATTTGCTTTCTCCTGTATTTGGGAATTGACCCAAGAAGCTGAGGTTGTCAATACACGTTTCTGTAAGAGTATAATTCGATCACGACAGGCCATGACATATGAGGAAGCCCAGATGAAGATAGATGATTTAACATTACAAGACAATTTATCCAAATCTCTTAGAGGTCTGAATTCACTTGCAAAAATCTTAAAGAAGAGGAGAATAGAAAATGGGTATGTAATGTTAGAAAATCATATCCTACATGTTCATTCAGTAGGTTGTTACAAAGTTTGTATTTGTATAACTTTATGTGAGGTAGCCCATGACAAACTTGAAGGCGTAATGCACAGAGAAGTGACAAATGGATGCATAGTCTTGCTCGTTGTAGTGCTTCAATTTCAGTAAAGTGGATTAAATGTTTGTGCACTGGGACATGCACTTGAATTTGACACAGGCTGATATGCAATGTATTAATATTGTTTGCAACTTTGTATTTAACAGCTTTGTGGAAATAATTATTTTGCAGGCTCTAATGCTGGAAAATAGATGCCATAGTTTGAATTTAATTAAATTCAATCAATTTAATAATGAAGTTTGTTTGTTCCATAGAGCTTTGGTTTTGGCTTCACCAGAAATCCGTTTTCAAGTGGACAGTGAAACACTTGATCCAGTTGAAGTGGAAACAAAGAAGCTGCGTGAGACAAATTCTATGGTAGAAGAGTTCATGTTGTTGGCCAACATATCTGTGGCTAATAAGATACTAGAGGATTTCCCAGAGTGTGCCATGCTACGGCGACATCCGAAGCCTCCATTATCAAATTCCTTGACCCCGGCACTAGATGGGGTGAGTGGTCAGCATCGCGCCCCGGCCGGCTTTACCCCCGGGAAAGGACCCCGGTACCCATTGTAGAGGAGGCTAGGTGGGCCTCAGAGCCGGTCTGGACGCAGAAGCTAGAGGAAAAATCCTCTGCCCCCGTCGGGGATCGAACCCCGGCCGTCCAGCCCGTAGCTAGTCACTATACTGACTGAGCTATCCCGGCTCTTTGGCTGGAAAACCCCAAGTGAAGAGACCACTTGGGGAAACCTAGAAAACTCAACAGGAAGTTCCCTAATTTTTTATACAGTGAATTCCACTTAACTTTAATCACAGCTGCTAGTCTGCAGTAGGTATATTCTGCACTGCAGCTAATTCATTTTCCAGCAATTTGATTGTTACTGCTATGGCATGCTGTCATGGTGAGTACTACATTAAGTGGGACATACTGTGTAAAGTACCATGTCAGATGTTCTTCATGCCCTTGCAGTTGTTCACCACATGGGGTTAGGGAAGTCAAATGAAGGGGTCTGGGATGGGTTGGGCATGTAGCATACATAGGAGGGAAAATAAACGTATATAAAATGTTAGTTGGAAAGCATGAACCTAACTATCCAATTTACTAACTAACTAAGTAGCGCAGGATCCTTGTGAAACTAGTCAAGAAATTTCATGTCAGTTGTGGAATCTGAAGGTTCATTGTCACGTTCACATGGACCTGCTAATGGTTCAGCTCTAAGGTCAATTGATTTAATCTCTCTTTGATCAGTTAGAAACCAGACCAAGTTGTAATGGTTGAGGATGTTTTGTATTATGTTTGTTTTGAACAGGTAGGTGTCCATATTGCTGATGTGAGTCATTTCATTCGATCTGGAACAGCAATAGACAAGGAGGCTGCACTCAGAGCAACAACAGTTTATTTGGTGGACAAGAGAATCGACATGGTACCAGGTCAGTACAATTTTTGTAAGGCTTACAGTATCATGTCCATGTGTTCAAAGGTCTGTCTGCCGTAATAAGGTTGGAATAGTTGACAGATTTTTTTGAAACTTGATGTTACAATCAAGACAACAGAGGCAATTTTACTTTTTTATTTTTAAATTCCTATCGTCAGTAAAACCAGTGTAGCAGTCTTCTGAACTTCAAAGATGGGAGCTATACTACCACTGATTCATTTAGAGTCCTGAAATTTTGTGTGATAATGGATTTTTGAGAAATATGTTCTCTCCCCACTACACCCACACTAAGAATATTAACCTTTTATATACTAAGGTTGTATAAGTTCCTTCTAGAGCCTCTTGTTTATAAAATAAGCATTTAGACTTTTTAAAAAGACTGATTTCCTCTAAATCCACCTATGAAATATTTATTTTTGATGTGCTAAAAAATGGTGTATGTGTGATGCGTATGAAATTCTGCAAAAGGAAAGCTGATGAGTACACACATTATTGTATATATATGTATATGTGTATTGTATATATAGTGTATATCAATATTTTTCCTATTTTTAGAGCTACTGAGTTCAAATTTGTGCTCTTTGCTTGGAAATGAAGAGAGATTTGCTTTCTCCTGTATTTGGGAATTGACCCAAGAAGCTGAGGTTGTCAATACACGTTTCTGTAAGAGTATAATTCGATCACGACAGGCCATGACATATGAGGAAGCCCAGATGAAGATAGATGATTTAACATTACAAGACAATTTATCCAAATCTCTTAGAGGTCTGAATTCACTTGCAAAAATCTTAAAGAAGAGGAGAATAGAAAATGGGTATGTAATGTTAGAAAATCATATCCTACATGTTCATTCAGTAGGTTGTTACAAAGTTTGTATTTGTATAACTTTATGTGAGGTAGCCCATGACAAACTTGAAGGCGTAATGCACAGAGAAGTGACAAATGGATGCATAGTCTTGCTCGTTGTAGTGCTTCAATTTCAGTAAAGTGGATTAAATGTTTGTGCACTGGGACATGCACTTGAATTTGACACAGGCTGATATGCAATGTATTAATATTGTTTGCAACTTTGTATTTAACAGCTTTGTGGAAATAATTATTTTGCAGGCTCTAATGCTGGAAAATAGATGCCATAGTTTGAATTTAATTAAATTCAATCAATTTAATAATGAAGTTTGTTTGTTCCATAGAGCTTTGGTTTTGGCTTCACCAGAAATCCGTTTTCAAGTGGACAGTGAAACACTTGATCCAGTTGAAGTGGAAACAAAGAAGCTGCGTGAGACAAATTCTATGGTAGAAGAGTTCATGTTGTTGGCCAACATATCTGTGGCTAATAAGATACTAGAGGATTTCCCAGAGTGTGCCATGCTACGGCGACATCCGAAGCCTCCATTATCAAATTTTGAACCTCTCGTGAAGGCAGGAAGGAATTTGGTATGTTAGCATTCACTTTAGGCCATTAATCAACCAATTTTATTTTAAGGTGAATTTATTTGTTATTACACAATTGCTAGCTGGTTAATTACATTTATCTTCTTGGCTACACCATTTAAATTAGGCTTGTCCAAGTCTTGAAATACTGGTGTGGGCACTTATTGGTGCCTATGATTAGGTATGTAGCTGGACACATGTGGTTAGGATTAAGTTACTAAGAATCACACACAGTGGATGAACTTGCAGTCAGTGATGTTCTTGTGCTTTATGCTGATGGTGTGTGCTGTAGTTGTTATTAGTATAAGGGACTCTGAAATTACAGTCTATATTAATGTTTTCTGAGTTGTTGCACCTTGTAGTGCGGTAGAAGTTTGCAGAAGTTTACAGAAGACAGCCATCTTCAGACTCATCCCAGTGAAAACCTTATATCCTACTAAATAAATGCTAGATTCTCAGGCAGGTTTTAAATCTTGTGATTGGCAGGAAATATTAGGATGTTTAAAGCATTAAGATA